GGTGAAACCCCGAGTGGCTTCTCCATTGAGACAAGACGGGAGAGAAAAATCTCATTGTCACGAAAAGACATTACTGGAGACAATATGTCCTCATCGGAGAGATGATGCCGTCTCCCAAGTGTGGAGAGCCTGCTAACATTACAGGCAACATGGACATGACTAGATACATGTCTTTTTCACAACATGACTAGAGATGACTCGAGACAACATATGCTTCATTGTATAGGGAGACATAGGAGAGACATGTCCACAGCGCCGAGGCTCCTCGACCTCCGTGCGATGAGACGGCATGACTCAAGAGGACATGCCTTGCGTGTTCCATCCAGCTACAGCCCTTCCCTCACTTTTCCTTTCCAAGCTTTTCCAAACGTGTTGCCACTCCCAAAATACTCTCCCGTCCTCTCATTCCCTCCCCGTGTGTGTTTTTCCAGGGAAGGAGACACAATACATAATTCACACACAGAATCAGCAGCACAGCTGGACTGGGTGTGTGTGTGTGTGTGTGTGTGTGTGGGGCAGCAACAAACATTTTCGAGTTCAAAGACGTATGTTGTGGGTGTACATTCGGGAGTCCTTAGAATCAAAATTTCAATGAATACTTAAAAAGGCAGGATCAAAGTATGAATTGAAGTTTAAAGTGTATTTTTAACTTGACAACTGAAGTATAACAGAAAAGAGAATGAAATCTCTTCAACAATACAGTTTAGTCTAGCAAAAGTCCATTAGCTTAATGCTAACATATAATGGAAAATGTCATACTTGGCAAATGAAAATTAGCATCGAATTATTAACCTTCAAGCAACTTCTATTTAATCACACAACACATATAAGCACTTGCGACACTAGTAAATTTTTTGCGGCTGCCCACAAAACCGGCAATTATTTGTAAGATTAGTTCATAGCTGCACCTTCTTTGAAACTAAACTTCGCTTGCTCTTTGTGCTTTGAAATGCGACCCTGCAAACTATTGTCTGTATTCACAATTTGAAGGTGCATTTTTGTTGTCGTTGCCTTTAAAAACAACAGAACTGATCATCAGAATTTGGTGAGCTGTCTGCCGCTACTTTGAAGTTGGTTTTTTTGAAGTTTCAGGCTTATTGTTCAAACGTGGCCGAGGTCTGCTCTCTCTCAGTTGTCATTTGCTTCCTTTCCTCCCAACCCCCTCACCACCCCCTAAAACATCAGAGCAGTGACCTCATGCAGAAGCGCTTCGGGTTCCCACCATGGCAAGGGTCACGTTACACGCAGTAGAGGATAATTACACACTCGGTTGTCAGCCGCTTTGTGTGTGTGTGTGTGTGTGTGTGTGTGTGTGTGTGTCTGTGTGCGCGTCCGTTCATTGTGCTGTCATATCCTACTCAGGATTGAAAAACCTTGCAGCTCATTGGGTCCGGCCGCACTCAGTTTACGGACTTCTGCCTCTTGTGTTCCTGGGAAGATCTGAAAACATTGCCAGTAGGAAGCAGTTCTCCACCGTCTAATATGGGCGTCAAAGTTTGATGATTGACTTTCCAGGATTGACAGTAAAAACGCCGTTGCGAGCCAGCTACTTGCCTAATTAGTTTTATTTCTTTTTTCTTTTTTATTGTTATTATTTTTTTAATAGCCAACGCAGTGCTGGCTGCCCATTGCCTAATTAGTTTTATTTCTTTTTTCTTTTTTATTATTGTTATAATTTTTTTCATAGCCAATGCAGTGCTGGCTGCCCAAGGCCTCACTGATGGGAAACTGTAGTAAAGCAAAACAGCCAAGAACACAATTTAAAATTGCATAAAATGAAGCGAGTGTGCAAGTTTCAATCAGCAACTTGTGACGACCTTTATCGTGTCGTCGTCATTGGGACATCTGAAAGAAAAATGGCTCCAGACGCAACCCCTGGGGTACTCCCCACCACTTGTTTCAGCCGGTAAAAGTGTTTCAGGTAGAAAATCTCAAACATAGTCAGAGGTGTGTGTTTGAGTGTATGTGTGTGTGCTGGGTTAGCACCATTAACTCGCCTCCACACACACTCGCACACACACAAGCGAAATTTTGAGGCTTTTGCATGCATGTTTACTGCATTCAGTGTGGGCGCTGCTTTGCTTGCAGGCTTTTGGAATGTTGATGGTGAACGTGATCTATTTCCCACCTGAAAGTAGTTTCAACTGGAGAGAATAATCGATTAATTGATTGCGTGATAGTTTGCATCAAGATGTACAAAAAAATGATTCATTCAGCGTAAAAAAAATTTGTCCTCTCCCATGATCAAATAATTTTCTTCAAATTTGATTAAATTGCTTCTTTAATCAATTTTCATAGTTTCAGCGACCGGGCCCCCCCAAAAAACATCTGATGTGTTTAACAAGTGAAATCTTGTCATAGTTTCATCTGTTCTCTAAAAAAAAGATGGAAGGTAAATTGCATTAAAAAAATTTGAATTGGTGGTTTTATGGCGCAACACTTTGCTTTTTTATTTTAATTTTTTTCCTCAAGTATTTTTTTTTCCCGAATTGGTGAGGGGGAAAAAATAAAATACAAAAATAAATAATAAAACACGTTTAATGGCTACTTTGTGGTTTTCCAGATTAGCCATGTTTCTGCTCGTGGAGGACGTTCACTCGTAACACTCAGTTGACTTCTGGGAACACTTTTTCGGCTCATTCCAGCGGCGTTTCGGCGGGGAAAGAAAAAGGAAGGATGGAAAAGAAATTTGGGACATTTGCCAGCACACGAGGGATGGGAATGAATTCAGCCGAGCCGGAGACACCAGGATGACAACGGCGTCCAACTCTTGAGTGTCTCGAGCGAATTTCGAAGGAAGCGTTTTGACATCTTTTTTTTTTTTTTTTTTTTTTTTAGTGCCATTCATGCTAAAGCTCAAAACTTCCTCATTTTGATTCTTCACTGGCGAGATTAAAGGAAGAAGTAAAATCCTCCCGATGGAACCAATCAGCAGCTTTGAGAGATGTTACGTCAACTTTCTGGCAGCGTCCCATTTTACCTTTTGTGGGACGGAGGAGGCTGGAGGTTGCAGAAAACACCTGAATTATTGATCCGAACAACCGGTTCTTCTACGTCTTCGTGACCCACTTCAGGATCCTCGCTGCCATCCGCTAAAAGCCGGGCACGCTTCATCCGGGGCGCTGGCCTTTTGACAAATCTTTATGGTCCGTTAAAAGCGATCACGTCCAGGCTGACGATGGAAGAAAGTCTTGAGTGACAATCAACGCCCCCATTTTGTCCTTTAACGGGGAACCAGAGTTACTTTTGAAACCCTTTTCCTAGTTTCCTCGTGAAGGTCTGTCAGATGGCGTGTTTGAACGTCATATGCTGTAATGTTATTAACATACAAAGACAAAAAAAAAAAAAAAAAACGGTCGAAAAATCTGCCAAATTTTTGCTAATATCGGCCGGCCGATTAATTGATCGGGCGCTAGTCGGTATCGGGACGCGTATCGACAAACACGCATTTACACTGACGTTCAAACTTTTTGACGAGTCACAAACGGGCGCAGGATTTTTTAAGGATTATTCATACAGTGCGAATGGCGAGACGACTCGCTGCTCTGATGCAATTCGATTGCAAACATGTCACGCAGAATGTTTGGGGAATGTTCCTGGTTTTGGTTTAGAGAAAGTGACGTAGTCCATTAGATAAGCGCGTGTGTGTGTGTGTGTGTGTGTGTGTGTGTGTGTGTGTGTGTGTGTGTGTGTGTGTGTGTGTGTGTGTGTGTGTGCGTGCGTGTGTGTGTGTGTTGCTGAGAGCAGCCGTGGCGTGGGAGGACGATTGTGTGGAACAAAATGTTGAATCTCAACCTGTTCAGACCCATCTGCCACACACACACACACACACACACGCACACATCAACACTCACACACAGCTGCCGTACGATTTATTAGCGTGCATTATATTCCAAAGAAAGAGCGATTCCTGCGCACGTTCACTCACCCGTGCACGTTTTGCACCACATGAAGCTTCAGGCTCCATTTAAACCACTATATCGTTCCCAACCACTGGACTGGAAAATGATCCAATTTCACTTAATCGCTCAGAAAATTATTCGGTTTGGCATTAGATTTTTTATTTTTCTGTCCTCTGTATTCGCTGAAAACTCCGCTATTGGCTGTTTTGTCTTCAGTGCAAAAGCAATTATTTACTCTGGTGCCATCTTGTGGAATCGCAGTGTTATTGCTCGATTTAATTTATTGATATAATTTTTTTTCGCCAGCGTTTCCAATGTCCTGTTTTGTTGGAGGTTGACTTCATACGTTTTGCGTAACGTGCTAGCGCATTTGTTTGCCCGTGTGGGATGTCACGTGAGTTTGTGCTCTTGGTTTTGTTTTGTTTTTTAGGCTAGCATGCTAACAGCTACTTTTGATGAGACTCAAGTGACCGTTTTTTTTTTTTTTTTTGTGTTGAGTAATTTATGTGGTTCATGCTCACGTTCAGGTTAAGAAACGCTGCTCTAAACAAGCGCTTGTTTGTTGGTATGAGTCGTGCGAAGAAAGTCCATTCAAAAAAGTGAAACCGACACAAAATGGTGACCGGTCGTGTGATTTTTGCTAATTGTCCACACATAGACAGCTTGTTCTTGTCATGATAGAAAACAATTTGACTTTGGTACTTGACACTTGTTGTGCCATCTGTAGTGGGTGTGTGGATATCGTTTGTGTGTGTGTGTGTGTGTGTGTGTGTGTGTGTGTGTGTGTGTGTGTGTGTGCGTGCGGTCATACACACCTGTTGAATTTCGACGACAGCAGATTAAAGAGGGGAAAATAGCAGCAGTTTGAGGCCTGTTATCTGTCGAGAGGACGCCCGCTGTGAGGTTTTGATCAGCCAGCCAAATGGAATCCAAAAGCATCACGTACGCACACACAAGTACAAAGAGAATCAAAGCACAAATGGTGTCAGTTTTTTTTCTTTTTTTTTTAAATCACAGATGGCAGGCAGCCTGCGCGTGCATCTATGTGTGTATTTATTAGGCTTTATGGAGGACGACTGGGCTTTTGTTGGACGGCGAACCCCACGGTTCGACCTTGAGAAGGCGATGGGTTGTTGCCGCGGCAACCGCCGACGGCCACGTTGTTGTTATTTTCGGCGTGTGTCTGTCTAGGCCCGGGGTCACCAAACTCGTTTGTTGAAACAAATTCTGCATGTTATTCCTCCTTTCTTTTCTTTTATTTGCCCATTGACTGTCAATCGATGAGCCAATCGTTTCATACAACAATTGAAAACAAGGTCAAAAGTATTGATCAAAGAGTTTGTTTTACTATTTGACACTGTTTAGAGGAGATCAAGCATCCAGTTATTTTGTAAAATTAAATATTGAATGTAAATGTGACCGTGTTTATTTATTCTAAACCTGCGAGTGTGTGTGCATGTGTGTGTTTGCGTTGCATGTGTTTCGTGTGTGTGTGTGTGTGTGTGTGTGTGTGTGTGTGTGTGTGTGTGTGTGTGTGCAGTGGGGGGTATTACACGCATGTTTTTGACGGGTGCGTGTTGAAGTGCCAGAGTCACAGCGAGGCCCGCTGTTTGCCTCGCTCATGGCCGCGTCGCCGTGGCAACAGCTCTGGCAGCCATGTGTGGAGTGGGGGGTATTACACGCATGTTTTTGACGGGTGCGTGTTGAAGTGCCAGAGTCACAGCGAGGCCCGCTGTTTGCCTCGCTCATGGCCGCGTCGCCGTGGCAACA